AAATGATCAACAATGCTGGGTGTGGTGGCGCATGCCTGTAATCCCAGCACTGGGGAGGCTAAGGCAGGAGAATTGTTGTGAGTTCAAGACCAGCCTGAACTGCATAGCTAGATCCTGTCTCAAAAAGACCAAAAGAGGGAGAAGGACAGGGGGAGAGGGGGAGAGGGAGAGGGATTGGCTATAATAATTAAAACAATACTAACAGGTGTCTCCAAAAATGTGGAGGAAGGACTGCTGAAATGTAAATGTAAAATAATGCATCTGAAAAGGGAAAGTTTGGTGGTTTTTCAAAAAGCAAAACATCATACTGCCCAACAACCCAGCAGTTCCACACCTAGATATATACAGGGCACAAGGATCTGGAAACGCACGCCCACACCAAAACTCATACATGAGGCTCGTGCCCGCGTTATTACTAATATCCAAAGATGGGAACGAGCCACGTGCCCACAGGGGCGAATGGGTGAGCAGAAGTTCTCTTTCACCAAGTCACCTTTTGTTACAGCTTGTTTATTTTTTATAGCTAAAATCTACTGCACCAAATATTTAAAAATCAATATAATATTGATCGTACAAAATGACGTGCTGCTGATACCCATTTGCTCAGGCATCGGAACTTGAGACATCTGTAGTTGTACACTTGTGTTCTGGCAGAGAATCACTGTGACTTGAGTTTTGAATTCAGAATGATGAAGCGACTCAGATACCATGAGCACGTTAAGACACTCTAAAGTGACTGCGCCACATGACATGAGTCCTTAGGCGGAGGTCACTGATTCAGAACAGATCTTTCACCTCCATGAGTGTCTGAAGAGACATCTGAGAATTGCGTGTGTGACACGCACAGCATTGTTTCATACAGGGCACCCTCAGTGTCCCGGGGCCTGATCACACTGGGCTCCTGGCCCTGATGAATGCTCCTCGGTCACTGGGACACTGAAAACACTCCACCATTTCAGAAATGCTCCATGGGGACAGTAATTCCCCCTTTGAGAACCTCTGAATTTGAAATTCCCACTCCCCAAATCTTGAAATTTCTCTGAAGATTCACATTTTATTCTAAAATTTAAACATAGCTAGGCTTGGTGGCGTACACCTGTGATCCCAGCACCTGGGAGACTGAAGGGGAGAATCACTGTGAGTTCGAGACCAGCCTGGGCTAAAGTGAGCTCAAGGCCAGCTTGGACTGCATAGTGAGACCCTGTCTCAAAAAGACAAAATGAAATAAAATAAAATAAAATAATTTAAATGAAAATTCTGTATTCTGTGACGGCACAGGAGACTGATGGCTTAAATGTATTTATAATTCCACGCCTCTGTGATACGCATGGAGACCTCCATATGTACATCCTCCTGTGAGGAAGTCTAAGTCCAAAAGCTTTGATGGGTAATAGAAATGACCATCCAGGCTTCCCAAGGCCAGTTACATTTCACCACATACAATAAAAATTCCCTAAAATCCATTCCCAACCTCCCTTTCTTCGCAAAGCCCATCTCACTTCCCTGACATTCCTCATGTAGCTCTTGCAGTCAAACAGGCTTCAGGTCAACATCCAATCCCAGGACAAGGGTTCCTGTTCCCCGCAGGCGGTCATGGACAGTGATGTGGGTATTTATCTCTCCATCGCCTTCTGTGAGCGGAAGAGTGGGAGAGGCAAGTGGACAGCCAGGGCTCCAGGAACAGGCTTGCAGCAGCACCCTGGCCCTCAGCTCTGGCCCCTCCAGCCTCCCCTCCCGGCCTCCAAGCCCTGGCTTGTGCTGCCTGCCTGATCTGCAGTGTCCACGGTGCATCACGGCTTTCTCCAGAATCGCTGGTTGTGGTTTCGGAATCACTTTAAAACAAATCCATCTGTTCTCAGGTGTTCATCTGACAGTGAAAAGTTAGGGAAAAAATGTGAAAGGGTGTTACTTCCAGTAACAAAATTCAGTTTGTTGCTGAATATCTTAAAGGCTGAGCTGTCACAAATGAGGTTTTAGAGGCTGGGTTTGGTGATTGTGCACCTGTATTTCCAGCACTTGGAAGGCTGAGGCAGGAGGATCACTGTGAGTTCTCGGCCAACCCAGGATACAAAGTGAGTTCAAGGCCAGCATGGACCAGAAAAAAAAAATTAAAAATTAAAAAATGACATTTTATTGTAGTGGGTATAAACTCAAGAATAATAAGCACATGGGGTTAGGGAGAAGCTCAGAGGTAAAGTGTTTACCTGCTACACACAAGGCCCTGGGTTCAATTCCCAGCACTGCAAAACACAAAAATAGAAATATTCTCCTGAATTGTCTTTTCTTTTTTCCCAGTTTCCCTCTTGTAGTCAGCTCCCCACTTCTGTTCCTAGATGACTTTCTAAATAAATAGTTTTGTATATATTTTTTAAATGACATTTTAGAACTGCATCATTTATTGTGCTTCTGTCAGAGGTCAGAGGTATCTGCCTATTGGAATTCTCCTCCTTTGGACCAAACACACATTTCAGTCATTCAGGGTACTCAGAGCTAAGTCCTCATATCTCACTTGAATAATCTTTTCAAGGATTCTCAAACACACACCAAAAACACCCTGCTGAATTTATGCACATGTATGAAACAAGTGGAAATCAGAGATCTGGGAAAGACAGAATGATTACCAGCGAGATGCCACCTTACCAGGAACGGGTCCTATTTAATACCTTTAAAAATCCTGACGTTGGAACTTACAATTCATTGGTATATTGATATATCGCTATTGCGATATATGTTTAGCTTTTTTCAGACAAGATATTCAGAAACTTGTCTCCAAAGGGCCTCAGCCTTAGTTATTAAATTGGTGGTGCATGGGCAGCGAGGGCAGTGAGCACAGACCTAGGTATGAAACTTAGAAAGGACCCTTGCTTAGAAGTAACACTGGACAAAAAGATGTTCTCAATGACAAAGAACAACGGGGCTCTAGGCTCTCTGAAGAGAGAGGCCGTCCATGGCTGTTGGGCGCAGGCGCTCAACATACCATACCCCATCCGGGACTAAGGACCACGCCAGCTTCCGCAATGCGCTACGTCCCTCTTTAAATTAGCCAACCCGTGTGCACTTCGTGCTCACTCCATACTCTGTGGCAACTCCTGATTGGCCACAGCTGGATATAGTAGCCGGAGCCTACATCCCATTCCCGCCCTGCTTCCTTGTGGCAGCCTGTGATTGGTCACGGCCAAATATATAAACCAGAGCCCGCGTAAATAAACTAGCAGTTAACTGTCGTCCACAAAAGCGTCTCCTGTGTCCTGTTTCATTGGAGCTGCGCCGGTCACATGGCCATGGGACAGCCAGGTCCCCTGACAGTGTGATGGGACCACGGTCCGCCAGTCCAAGCTGCTGAGGACATACAGGTCGAACAGAGGGGGCAGTATTCTTTAACTGCTTGATGCAAGTGTGTCACTTTCCATTTTGTAAACCCCTAGGATCCAACCATCCCTGCTTCACAATTATAATGGGAAATGCCAGGGCAGGAGGCCCAGACTCCAGATACCTAAATCTGAATGATTAAATACTGTCTAATATTCATTACCCCAGAAATTCATATTTACAATCAGCAAAGAAGCTAACCTGGTTTACCTATTATTTTATATCATTGCTATTGTATACTTTTAAATTTGGTATCAAATATTTCAGTAAATTGTAAAGATCAAAAAAGGGCATTTTAAGGAAGTATAAACTTACTTATTTCTTATTTATGTTTGGGGTTGAACCCAGGGCCCAGGAACCCAGAGCCTTGCACATGTGAAGTAATCCATCTATCAACTGTGCTAAACCTCAGGCTGTCAACTTAAATCCATTTTCCTTCTGATAGCTTGGCACCATTTTAGAATGTAATTCACAAGGTAAGAAATTAGTGTCACAATTTCATTTTAAGTAAACATTCATGTTCTGAAATGCTTAATATTTTTATTAGCTTCTTTCAATCTAGCTGCGCTTAACCTGTCAGCAATAAAATATGTCGCCAGAGTTACAGAAAGGCATTAGCTGGAGGCCCCTCAGAACTATGTATATGTTGAATTTTCCCGATGAATAGGTAACTACGAGCCTCAGGTTTCACTGAATGACGTTCATTTGGGGAATAACTCTCCAAACTTAATGTTTCCTGTAGAAGCTAATGCTTTTAGGATCATGAAGCAGCAATATGTCTGAAAATCAGACACCTGGAAAGTTTGGCTTTAAGAAGAATCGTTAAAAATACCCCAGAACCTCAGTAGGAATTTGTCTTGTTAAACACCTGATCATCATAGGTTAAACCAACCATGATGCTACTTTTCACGTGAAGAAAGAATAAAATTATAGGAGCTCTGTACTGTATGCCCAAATGAGCAGTTCTCCCCTGTGTGTATGAGTCTATCTTCCTTCAGCCTGGTCGTCGCGTGGACACATTACAAAGCCACCAGTGTTGACAAAGGTATTTTAGGATGTAGGCTGAGTCTAGTTACCAACATTTCCCAGAGGGCTCCTCTGGACCTGGGTGGACCAGGACCTGCAAGTCTCAGGGTGCAATTCCGGAAAGGGAAAAAAACTAACTGCAGTAGGAAAGGAAGTCGTCCCCCTTTGCACTCGGGGTAGAGACACAGTCCTGGGACATCTTTCCACCGGCCTAGGGACACAGTGGGTTCTCTCAACAGCTGGTGTACAACAGGAAAAGAAGACGACTTTCTGAGGGTCCCTGACACCACTGTCCCCTTCCCTGGGAGCTGCTACTAGGGCTCAGTTCAAACATAGGCTCAGCTGTGATCGTGGGAAGCGCCATCCCAGGGGACGCTGGGGAATGTGACCTCTGCCCAGATTCAGCCTGGCAGGGCGAGGAGAGACGGCCTTGCGGCTGCTCCTAACCACCTGTGCTCTTAGTCACCGCAAGGTCAAGGTGTCAGAGACCAAGTCCTGGTCCGGGACTGGGCGGGCCGGTGTCCCAGCAGCGCTGCAGGGACAAGGCCGGGCCAGGGTCACAGCCCGGCACACCAGCGGCACTGCCCACCCCGGCCCGCGCGGGAGGGCCCGGCGGGCGGCAGGGGGCGCCAGAGGGCGAGGCCGGCGCCGTGCGGGTCGCCATGCGCGCGCTGATCGGGCTGTGTCGCGCGGGCCGCGGGGGCTGCGCGGGGGCGCCGGTGGCCGGGGCGGCCCGCCGCTCGGTGGCCCGGTTCTGCGTGGAGGAGCGCGGGCGGCCGGGCTCCGGGGACTTCCGCGTCTTCTTCAGTGAGTGCTGGGGGCGGGGGACGGAAGGGCCGGGGAGTGGGGGGACACGGGGTGCGGGGGGACACGGGTGCGAGGGGACACGGGGTGCGGCCCCTGCGGGGCTGCAGACTCTCGGGGCTTCCCGGGCCCACCATGCGGGCGGCGCAGCCTCCGGGCCCGCGGCCGCGACCCCCACCGTCCCGCCCAGGAGGAAGGCGGCGCGGCGCGGCCCTGCGCCCGGGTCGTGCCCGTGCACGCAGCTCCCGCCCCTGCCGCGACGCCAGGTGGGCGGGCGGGACGCGGCGGCGAGGACGCCCGGCTCCGCCCCGCGCCGGCCTGCAGCTCCGCCCGGCTCCCCCCGCCCGGGAGCCCCCAGCCCGGCTCCGACCCTGCGAAGCCGGGCACGCAGTTGCCGACTTCCAGGGTGCGCAGTGACCTCCAGGCCGGGACGCCCGGCCTAGTGCGCCCCCGGGCGGGGAGGCCGAGCCGCGGCGGGCGCGAAGTCCGCGTGTGCATCGCGCTGCCTGCCGAGCCGCGGCGCGGGTCGTTGGGGCAGCCCGGCGGTGGCAGTGGGTTGCGCAGGGAAGGGCGCCGCGAGCGGCTCCCTGCAGACGGAAAGCAGTTGTTTTCCCCGCAGAAAAGCCCCGTGCGGCCCGGGCCGCGGTGCCAGGTCGCGGGTGAGGAGGCGGGGTGCGCAGCGGGCGGTGCCCAGGGCCCCGCCCCGGGGCTGGGACGCCGGGCTGGTGCACCGGCCGCCCCCTGCTCGTGGCGGACTGCGGTTACCTGGCAGAGTTACACAGTTACAGCTAACACAGTTCCCGGTGTGAGGCGGAACCGCTGGGAGCGTTTCTGTGGCGATTGTGGAACAGCGCAGCAGTTGGCGGGCCTGGGTGGGAAGGGCCCTGGGTGGGAGGGCCCCGGGCCTGACCCTTGGACAGTAGTCACCGCACTTCCTGCCCCAGGCGACAGTTTGTAAAACTGTGACCTTGAAGGAACCTCAAGGACGATCTCCCTCGGTGCGAGGCGACCTGGGCACAGTCCTGAGCCTCTTGATGCCAAGCTGTGGCTTATTTCTTTGGTATACCTGTGCTTCTGGCTCCTGGTTCTTCTGTCACTAGCATGCCCCGAGTTACCTTCCCCGCCTTGGATCCGGATTGGAAAGGAGGGGCACGGAGGGTTAGACATTTCTGCTCCAACACCAGATGGCGCGGCGGGAAGGGCCACCCGGGACCTTGTCTGATTGTTGTTTTTTTTTTTTTTCCCTTGTTGGTTTTTGGTAGAGATAGTCACAGGAACTAGAGAAGGAGAGTTGGGAGGTTCCCAGCATCGGGGGGAGGGGGGTTGATAGTGTTTTGAGTCCAGGGCATGCTGCTACCCATACCTTGATCACTAACCGTGGTGCACGTGTCAGATGCGGTCCTGCGCCCGGTTGTTGTTTAGCCCAGGTACTAACCTCAGCTTGGGGAAGTCTCCCTCCAGGGGCTGAGCAGTGCCAGATGTCCTGGTGTAGCCGAGCCTGCCCTCAGGATCTGTCATCCTGGGAAGTGGGATACCCGCAGGGATGAGAGCTGTTATTCACTGTTACTGAAGTTGAAGCCTTTTCCTGGTGCCCCAAAGCATCCCAAGTCTGACACACCGAGTGGTGTGAGACAGAGCAGTTTGTGGTTTCTCTTTACTGCCAGTAAGAATATGAATGAATTACTTCCTTTTTCTGTCTTTTTTTTTTTTTTTTTTTTGGTGGCACCAGCGGTTGAACCCAGAGCTTTTGCACCAAGCTACATTTCCAGCTTTTCTTTGTTTTTTATTTTAAAACAGGGTCTGGTTCAGTTCCTAAATTGCACAGGCTGGTTGAAACTTGCAAGCCTCCCGCTTCAGCCTGCTGAAGTGCTGGAATTATTGGTGTGTGCTGCCAGGCTCAATTTAATGACAGTTCTTTTTCGTGGGAAATATTTTGAGATGAGCCGATTTAGCGGTGCCGTGGCTGCTACCCAGCACCGTTGGTACCCTGCTTCCTGGGCCGCTGTCCTGCTAGCCCTCTGGACCTGGCTGTATAAAGTCACACACGGAGGACCCTTATCCAGTGATGCTTAGGTGGACACAGCCTCTGCAGGACAGTAGGAGGTTTCCTTTCAAACAGGCTTTTACCGTTTGACCAATTAGAACACGTCACGTTTTATTGCCTTCTTGGAGAGGAACGGTGTGTGCGTGGGAGTTCTGCAAAGTTCCGAGGTGAAAGAACTTGCCCTAAATCTCTGAACTGTCCTACTTCCTCAGGACGCTGTGATGAAGCGTCAGTGACACTGGGTCTGGAGGTCCGCGGGTGTCAGTCTGGGAAGCAGTGCTCAGGTTGACTTCTGCAGTGTAGATATTAAGTGAACCTTTTTTCTTTTTACTGTTGGACTGTAAATCATTAGACAAACTTATTTAACTTGGTCAAAGGCAAAAGTAATGGAATGTGTTTAAAATTGAAGATGTTTAAGTGCCCTAATCAATTAATTCCTAGGCCCCAGAACTGTAATGGGTTCTGTGGTCTTTGAATCGACTGTAAAACCGGGAGGAAATCAGGCATGTCTGCCAGGGGCTGGAGACCTGGCCTTGCTTGTCGTGTTGCTTGGATGTCTTGGCTGTTTTAGTTTTGTGGTATCCATAACTTGAAAGTTCTGGTTTTAGATCTTAAATGTCTCTTAAAGGATAGAGAATTATGTCTGATGATATGGGCAGTTATTTTGAAAATAAGACATATTATGGTAGCCATTGTTGATTTCCTGTTATCCTGTTTTGAAGTCTTGTATCACTTTCACTGTTGTGTTTTGATTGGCTTAATTCTATTTTATTTTGTTTGGCTTTATTCTTTTTTTTTTTTTTTTTTTTTTTTTGTCTTTTTTCTTTTTTATCGGTACCAGGTATCGAACTCACAACCACACACTTGCAAGGCAGGCGCTTATGCCAAATCCCCTGCTATTCTTTTTTTTTTAAATGCAGAGATCAGAAAACAGATTTAAGAAAGAAGGATGGGGAAATCTGCTTTCTGTAATTGGTGTTTTTTCTACTCTAGGGTAGATGTAGATGACTGAGTTACAAAAACAGGGTTGTGAGTGATTCAGATTCTTTGAGGAGGAGAATGAATCATATAGTTCTTTAGTTTGCTTATGATAAAATTATTGCTTTTTAAATATTTCATTTGAATAATAGGTGAAATAGACCATTGAATACATTAGAACTTAGTAACACTTCCTGTGAATAAGGTCTGGCAGCCTTGTTATTTTTAAGTTGGCCTGTCTTGTGAAACTTGAGTGGCCCTGAGAGAACAAGATGACTGTGTGGAGTACAGAAGCACCAGATTGGAGTTTCGATCCTTGAAACAGCCGAAATGCTGTGAAATGTTGTGATCTATGTATTGGAGCTGATTTTTAGATTTACTTTAAATGTCTTTGTTTTACCAGAAAAATCAAAACTAGCTTTAGTCATTATTAACCAGTAAACTCATAAACACGCATAAATGGTTGCAGTGATAGTTTGTAATAGTGTTTCGGTTCTTGGCTTAAGTGTGGCTACTTAGTAGATAAACAGTATCCGAGGCAGGTTTCGTGTTACATTTAATTTCCTCACTTGCTACTACAAGTAATAAATTCTCAGCCACATGAGAGAAAGAAGCAACTAGATAACTTACAAAACAATAGCATAAATTCCAATGGGGGACTGGTCCTCGGGGCAGGAGTGACTTTGGCGATGCCGTGCGTGCGGCTGGGGCTGAGGAGGCCTTGTGATTTTGCCTGTAGTGACACATGAAGACGGAGGGCCATGTTGACTCCAATGACTGGTCTCGCCTCTCTGCTAGTAAATATTCCAGTAAGGCCCTCGGGAGTGACTGAGAAAGGGTGATCTGAATCAGTGAGAGTGGGAGCCATCCGAGTGGGAGAAAGGGAAAGTGGTAAGGCGGGAGCGGTGGGATGAGGAGGAGGAAGAGCCTCGCAGGTGGAGGGTGACAGTGTGGCAGCTCCAGGGGCTGACCCAGCTCTGTGCAGCCTTGTGGGGTGCGCTGGGTCTTCCCGCAGAGCTCGGAAGTGTCAGAGGGAAGGTGGGCAGGCGGGGCTGCCTGGAGCAGCCCCCCTTATAGCCCACCACCTTCTTCATTGCAACCTTTAATTTCCCTGTACTTGCTGGGGAGCAGTGTTCTCTGGGTTCACTTGTTTCACTGGGGACCCTCGAGTGGATGGGACTGTACTTCAGAAATGCCTGTGTTCCCAGTCCCCTTATGTGCTGTCTCTGGGACAGGGCTCGGTGCACCTTCTGACACAGAGACCAGATAGGACATGGTGTAAGTTTTGCAAATCATGAAGTCTCGGCCACTACTGCTGAGAGCAGTCCTCCCGCTCCCGACCATAGCAGCAAGCATGTGGCCGTGGCTGTGCTGTCGCACCAAGGCTTTGCTTACAGAAGTAACAGCAGGACTCGGGCTGGATGAGAACTGGCTGGTCCCTGGGGTTGCTCTAGGCGATTTGCTCAGCCCCTCGCATCGGGTACCAGTGGGCTTCCCAGCTGTGCCCGTTAGCCTCGCTGTCTTCTTGGCCTTGACACTCACGCGTCCATCTTGCGACTCTGTGGCTACTGAATGAAGAAGCATCTCCAGGTTCACCTGTATAAAACAGATGTCCACCTCTCCCTTCCTGCGCAGCTTGTTTCCCTCCTGATCCAGTTACGGTAATCAGCACATTCATCAAACATTTCTTTGTAGTGGGAATGTTCAAAGCCTGCTCCCAGGTATTTTGTAATATATGATACGTAGTTATTAACTGTATCCCCATAACCTTCAACAGAACCGAGCCTGTTGTTTAAATCTAAAATGTCCCCCAAAGCTTACAGGTAGAGTTTTGGAGGGTGCCTGGGTTTGGGGACTGGTGCTGTCATCAGTGATTCATTGACTCATGCAATTGTGGCTGACCATGATGGTCTGAAGAGGCAGGTCCCTGGAAAGTGCGTTCTTGTCCCTGGCTCCTGGGCCCTCTCTCTGCTCCCTGGCCACCGAAGAGTGAGCCTCTGTCTTCCAGGCCCTTCCTCCGCAGCATTTGTGCCTTGGAGCCAGCAGATGTGGGCTGAACCGTGAACCCAGTCAGCCTCGCCTCCTCTAAGTTACGGGCTCTCAGTTACAGTAATGTGTCCCAGCAAAGCACCTGTGACGGAGCCGGAACTACATCCTCCCTCCTGGCTGGAATATTAGACCCCTGGCCACCCTGGCCCCCTTCTCTCCCTTGGGAAGAGCAGCAGGAACCAGTCAACTCGGGACCATTTTTGGTCAGCTTTCTTTTTTTGCACATGTGGCTCATTAGCACATCCTCCGGAAAGGGACCCTGAACACTGGTCCTGTTTCTGCTTCCCTGCCACTTACTCTGTTCACTGTCAGGTGTCTTCGCGGGGTTAATTGCAGCAGCTTCTTCCTGATTCTTCACTCTCTGGGCTGCCTTCATGCGGTCTCATGCTGAGTCCTATGCACGTGGCTGAATGCGTGGACCCCTTCCCTCCACCTTTCCTTTAGAGAGGGTTGGGTTGCCGCCTGCGGAGACTGGTAACACCGGTGAGGGTCAGGCGACTGTGTAGTAACAGCTCCAGCCCTGGGAATGTGTCGTGCTTCTCACCCGTGCTGTGCCATGAGTGTGCACAAGTGTCGGTGTCACTCCCGGCCGGCAGGAAGGACACACAACAAAGTCTGGCAGTGGACAACCTTTTCTTTTATTTTCCTTCTCCGTACAGCCTGCCCCGGGAATCCTCCCGGCCGAAGCCTCTGTTGGTCCGCTCCCCGCGGCTCCTTGCGTGCTTCTCCCTACAGTCTGTCCCGAAGCCTCTACCGGTCCGCTCTCCGCGGCTCCTTGCGTGCTTCTTCCTACAGTCTGTCCCGAAGCCTCTACCGGTCCGCTCTCCGCGGCTCCTTCTGTGCTTCTTCTGCTTCTTCTGCTTCTTCTTCTTTTTCTCCAGGGTAGCTGTCACCGCCTGGTACTTCCAGCCAACCTCATGGGCCAGGCGACCCAGGTAGGCAAACTTCCTTGTTGGCTTCAGGCGCACAACCTTGAGGGCGGCAGGAACCACCATTCGCTTTTTCTTGTCATAGGGTGGTGGAATCCCATCGAACACCTTGAGGCGGTCCAGGGCAGCTTGGCCTCGCTTGGTCTTAGGGGGCAGCATCCCTCGCACAGTTCGCCAGAAGATGTGGCTAGGGGCCCGGAAGTGGTAGGGGCCACGAGATGGGTTGGTGTTCATCCGCTTGCGGAGAAAGGCCAAGTACTTCAACTTGTTTCTGTAGAAGTTGCCAGATATATTGATACCCTCACAGCGCACAACCACTAACCCAAGGACGGTTGGATGGGACCTGGGCAGGATGACAAGTGATACAGAGGGGGTAGTGGATGCTGTGTCTTAGCTGTAGACACGAATCACTTCCCACCGTGTTCGCACCCCGAGCCTAATACTTCAGGGTTTTTTTTTTTTTTTCTTTCTTCTTCTTCTTTTTTTTTTTTTTTTTTTTTTTTGTCTTTTTCCTTTTTATCAGTACAGGGATCAAACTCACGACTGCCTGCTTGCAAGGCAGGCGCTTATGCCGCTGAGCTAAATCCCCAGCCCCAATACTTCAGGTTTTACAGACAAAACACTTTGTAAGTGGATGCTGCTTAATGGGAGAAGCCATCACGAAAATCAGGCTCCATTCAGTGAGTTTACTAAACTCAGTCTCAGAGGGTCCTGTATACATTGCTCCTGGGCATATTTATATGGATATTACCAACCAAAGCATTACCACTTTGACATCTAATGTTAAACATTTTATTTTTTCCAGAAATACTTGCTTTTATTCTTTGTTTCTTCATATTCTTTGCTCCTTCATGAATAGTATTGCATGATCCAAATAGCTATAGTAGGTGCATTTACCTAAATCACAAGTACCATTCATTCACTCATTCATAGGGGTCCTTTTTTCCTTTCTTTCTTTTTTTTTTTTTTCTTTTTGTCACAGGATTTCGCTGTGCAGTTCAGGCTGGCCTTGAACTCATTTTATAGCCCAGGCTGACATCAAACTCACAGCAGTCCTCCTGCCTCAGCCTCCCAGGTGCTGGGATTCCAGATGTGTGCCAGCATGCCCGGCTACTTCATTTTTTCTGGTGTTTCCCATAGATTACTTTTAAAGTCAAGCAGATAACTTGCATCTTTTTTTTTTGTCTTTTTTCGTTTTTATCGGTACCGGGGATCGAACTCACGACTGCCTGCTTGCAAGGCAGGCGCTTATGCCGCTGAGCTAAATCCCCAGGGCCCCCCCCCTTTTTTTTTAATAACTTGCATCTTGATGCAGAATGAACCCGGGACAGTTTTGCCTGTGTGCCTGACGTGTCCTTTTAAGGGATGAGGAAGCAGTTTGGGTCCCAGCAAGTGTATTAAATCCTTCACCATATGCGCCTTTCTTGAGTTTGTTCCCACGCTGTGCTCTGTGGCCTTCAGGTGGCAAAAGGAAAAGTAACATTTTGGAAAGAAAAGAATGATGTAGTTACAGGGAGGAATCGTTCGTGATAGAGCAGGTATCTGTCGGATGTCTGCAGAGCACAGGTCACTTCCCCAGCAAGGGGCTCCCTGCGCGGTGAGCCAGGCTCTTCCTTCAGAGCTTCTGTGCAGTGCTGAGTGCTGAGTCCACGCAGCAGTGCAGAGCAGGAGGTACCCTGCTGCACCGCGGGAGCCCTTGTTAAGTCTCACACTTCTGTTTCTAGTGGGCTGAAGCCAGGGCTTTTTGTTTTTAATTGCTGTTATTGCTGTTTACTAAACTTTTTATTGTTTTGGAAGAATTTTAGACCAGGAAAAGTTTAGAGAGGGTACGGAAGCATGGTGGCTCCTTGGCCAGAGTCCCCCCCAACATCTTCCAGCACCACCGCACACTGGTGGATGGGAAAGCAGTGTGGGGAGGTGCCTCAGTCTCACCCCGGCTTTCCCGAGCCTCCAAGACATCGCTGGTTTCTCCACTAACCAGTGTCCAGCCCCGGGCCCCTCGTCCTGGATCCTCAGTCTCCTGCAGGCTGCTACCGTGCCTCAGCCTGGGACCTGTTTCTTCTCCCTCCTCCATTTGCTCAATCATTTATTTGTATCAGGGTGGGGTGTTAGGTATTTGTTTTATAGTGGGGGGTTTCATCAACATGCTTGATTGCTCACCTTGTTTAGTCTGGTATGTGGGGCTCACATTTCTTTAGCAATGTAACCATTTGTTTGTGAATACTTGGTTATTGACTCTTTGTATTTCTGTTAATATTTTTTTTTTAAGGAGAATAAAACTAAACAAGGCAAACCAAACCAAAACAGAACAAAGCAAAGTAAAACAATGCAATTAACACAGGATTTCAGAAAAAGACAGTGGGAGATCAACACTGGCTACCATAATGTCTCTTGTTTTGGAACAAAACAGATAACATCCATAGGATTAGATTAATTTTGCATGACTATGTCTGGTAATTCAAATAAGATTTACGAAGATAACTGTGCAAAACAACAAAAATTGTTATGTTCCTATCATTTTGTTTTGAAAGCCTACATTGATACTGTTTTGGGCTCTTAGATATATTTATTTGTTGTCTTGTTTTCCCTCTAATACGCAAAGGATAGATGTACATGTATAGGTTTATGTATGCCTAGAACTTCAAGGGTTTACAACAATTGATTTTAGTATGTGTGATAGTATGAACAACTACACTGAAGAAAATGAGACACCATGGTAGCCATTGATGATTTCCTACTATTTCTGTTGGTTTTAAAAATAGTCTTGCGCCATGGCCCTGCTGGCCTGGGACTCCTGGGCACAGGCGGTCCTGCCTCAGCCTGCTGAATAACTGAGATCATCCCTGTGCGTGGCTGGCTCCTCACCCTAATGGCCCCAGCTCATTTCTCATTTGAATATTCTTCACCCTGCGGGAGAGTCCGCTGCTTCTCAGTTTCCTTTACTGGAGAATGGTAGATTCTGGAGAATTTAGAAATCAGGATCTTGGTATTGGATGCGCTCATGGCAGATAGAATGTCAGCTAGTCCCTGCTTTATTTTGTTAAAAGACTTTTTTAGGTCTAAGTTTAAAAATGAGTAGGAAGAAATAAAAAAATACCCAGACCGAGGAGGATTTGCACTGAACATTTGTATGGTTGTTTGAGGCTCAGCCTTTGGAAACAGGCATATTTGAGGAAAAGTGTGTATTGAGTCAGTGCCTCTATTTCAATAATATATGCTCTTAAATTTACTGTATATGTGTGGCAGTGTGTGATAGTTAAGGTAGTTTCTCTTACTGAGCTTTGCTTTCGTTACGAGCTTTCTATTATATCGGCATGCTTACCGCTTTGTGCAGAGGCTAATGGTGATTTCTTTTAACAGAGCCAGTGGACCTTCCTGTCTGTGAGTTCTAGGAGGAAATCGGGGATTCTATTATTAGGTGTTTCCTAGCAAAATTAACATTAGTTTCAGTCCAGTTCACTTAGTAATGAGTCTTTTTTTAAAAAGCGAGATTTTTCCAGACTTAGACATTTTCTGCTTTGGGTGTTTCGGGCCACAAGGATTAAATGTTTTCAGCAAGCAGTGCTTTAGTTGGGATATATTTTCTCTTTGGTCCTCAGGAGCAAGTTTTAAAAGTTGAATTAAACTTTAAACTTGGTGTTAAAAGTTAGCCTTGCAAAAGATGGAGAAGTTTAAAAGTGGATGAGGGTATTATAAAGGATTCTGTATCCATGGCTTTAACCCCACTTCTTGTTTGGTCCTTTGCAGAGAACGCAGTTGGTCACTACATTTCGCCCTTCCATGATATCCCTCTCCAGACTGATGCTGAAAAGGTACTATTTTAATTTGTTTTGAAGGTGAAAGGTTGATAGGATTCTTCGGGAGGACTTGGGAGAAAGGGGTACTAGTGGTCCATTAAGCTTAGAATTAGGTAGGAAATAAAGGTCAAAGGGCACTTTATTTAGGAAATGACTCAGGGGCTTATTTTTAACAACAGTGTTGCAGCTAACACTTGCACATGACTTCTGTTTGCTGGCACCCCATGAGCATGCATCATTGACTCCTTCCTTCCAAGTGCCTAGGCTCTCCAGGGATGCGCAGGTGCAGGCGTTTGACCCACTTGTCTAACATCGCAGCCGTCCACTGCCAGAGCCAGGTTTTGAACTGGCACTTCAGGCCCCAGAGCACATGGTGCTATCCCCGCTACCTGCCCTGGGAAGCCAGGGCTAGCAAAACCAGGCCAGCAAAATGGTCCTATTTGTGTAACTAGAATCTGTGCATGCAGTCAGTCATCAGTGCGCCAGTCTTACAAGTCACTTGGCAGTTGTGAGGCTGTAATGGTTGTCACCAAGTGGATCAGGACAGCCACTGTCGTAGGTAGAAGTGAGAGAACCCCAAAAGCGTTGCACTCACAGTCTCTCCTGATCAGTTGGAGTGATGTGTTTGGGAGCAGGTATTCATGATCTCCATGAGGCTGCACCTCACATCCTTACCATCAAACATGACCACTGCTTACGCAGCTGAGGACAGAGTACCAGCTCTTCAGTACTCACCGCTGCAGGAGGAGCGGTCATGAGTCTGTACTTGGTCTGTGTTACCTCAGTCCTTCTGTAACCTAGGTGCTTGCCCTTGTGCGTGTGGTCACATCCTTGTGGTGGTCACAGATACACACCAGAGTAGTGGGGTTACATGGAGGGCTTGGCCTCCAAAATCTGTGGTCTTCACTTCTCTTGTTCCTTAAGTGTCTGCTATAGGACGTGGGTCCTCGAATCTGGAGAGATAAGGAGCAAGGAGGACAGAAGTAGCTCAAGGCTACTGTGTGTCTCTCTTGAGTTTTATTTTGTTTTGTTTTGGTCAGTGAACCATCAAACCTCATTTTCTCCCACCTCTCATTTGGCTGACACATGCATGCATTTGTTTACTTGCTGTTTATTCATTCAGTAAATAATCCTTGCATGCTTGTGGTGAGCTAGACCCTGTTTCAGGCCCTGGGTGTGAGCTGGTGATCCAGATAGAACTCATTCATGCACAGTGGGAGGAGCAGACAACCATATAGCCAGTCAGTGGAGGCTGCTAAGTACTGTAATAGGAGCCATGGAGCAGAGAGACTGGTAGAGTGTTTTAGGGGTGTCATGACATGGACTGCGTGCCTCGTAATGGTCACAGGAGTCACGCTGTATTTTGAAGAGTTATGTAGTAGATAGGTGCAGAGGTGGAACAAAGACTGAGCTAGAGACATGTCAGTGTAGCCAGGTATAATGGTGCATGCCAGGTGTAATGGTTCTAACAACGTAGGAGGCTGAGACAGGAGGATTGCAAGTTCAATCACAGCCTTACAGAGACCTGTCTCACCGTGGGGGAGGTGCTGGGGATGCTTAGTGCAGAAACGCTGGCATCAATCTCTAGTAACTCAAAAAAAAAAAAAAAAAAAAAAACTATTAGGGTTATAACACTTTGTCCCTGGGGTGAGGATCTGGGTCACAGTTGAAACGGGGGCAGAACAAGTTGAGACAGGAAGTGGTGGTGAATTCTGGGGACACAGATTGGTGGCGATGTAAGTAGGCTCCCCTAGATTTTCATCAGTAACGATTGCAATGTTTGCGCCTTGTGCTTTGGGATACAGAGTTTGAGGAGAAGAAATAGTTGTGGAACTGACTTAAGCTGATTAGGTTTCCTTTTACTTTGTTTCCTTGGGTGGTACTCACTGTGGTCTGTGACTGTCACTACCCTGGGCAGCTTTTGTGAAGGGCATCATTTTTGCCCCAGCCCACCCTGGTGGAATTCAGAGAAGCCTGGAGGCAGAGTCGTCATCAGCACACCTGGTGGAATTCAAGGCAGGAGGGGGCCACTGTGTTCACGGCTTGTTAGCTCTGCTCCCTGGAGTCCCATTTCCCTAATGAAATGACTGCTTTAACTGTAATTGCAGGAAGCTGCCAGTCCTTCCTTGAAGAATGAGCAGAGCCTTTGCATGTTTTATAAAAACATGGGAAATATGCACTACTTGAAAGAATGTAGCTTTTCTGATCCTGTATTTCATGAAACAGCCTGATGCTGTGTTCCCTAGGAGTTCCTAGCGTTTGGTGGCTGTCCTTGGAGTCAGTGCTGCACGCTCCCTCTGTCATGCAGCCTTTATCCGGGATCATTTTATTGCCATATAGCACACATTTTAGCTGTGGAAAGTGACAATCCCGGCTACATCCTTTGCTCTTACAGAAAAGGGGCGTATTCCTACCAAGAAAGGAAGAAGCCATGACAATAAATATAGATTTAGATACTTTTGTTTGGGGAATCACTTTGACACTGGCTGTTGAAGTATTGATCACACACATTTGTAAAGTGCTTCTAAGTATTTTCCATTCTGATAGCTTTCCCTAGGTCTTTTTAAGATGTTTAGACCTGATGTTACCATTGACCATTTCTACTATAAAATGTTCACATTATGAAGTTCACCATGTTAACATTTTTTCAGTGTGCAGTTCAGTATCATCCAGTACTTAAGCACTGTTTTGCCGTGATCACCTCCGCCTATCTCCAGAACTTTTTATTACCCAGAACTGAGCCTCTATGTCCATCTGCTAGTGACTCCCGCAGCCTTGCGCTTCTGGTAATGTCTTCCTTCTGTCTCTGAATCTGACTGCCTTTGGTACTTTGTTGCCATTTCATTTTCTAAGTGAACACCTTGAGAAAATCAAATCAGCAACCCAGATCTGAATAGCCAATTTATCATGGTCAGTAGTGTTTATGAAACTCGGTCAATTGGCCTATTTGTGAAACATCTAACTGTACAGATAATTTGAGAGTGTTTCAGCCCTAAGGCACAGTAGATTTCCAAAAGCAGAGGAGAGAAACTGTGTGTCACGGTATGCTAAAGTGTATCCCACGCGCATCACTGAGTTAATTCCGTGTCTGTTGGACCTGTGGTAGTACCTCGCTCAGGACCCCGAATATGGCTGATTCTCTCCCGTCTCTTGCCCCAGATCCCTTCAGTTCACAGTTTTCCTTCCCTCACACCTTCCCAGCCTTATTTCCATCTGTTCGGTACCCTAACTGAGCTTTTGACCACAGCCTTTGAATCCACTTCTGCATGTGTCCGTGGGGGCTGTGTAATTCCTACAACGTTGGCCTGCTGTCCTTCTGTTTTCCTGAGTCAGATGGTCCTGGGAGACTGGCACCACCTGGAGTGATTGTTAGGCATTCAGATTCCTGGCTCCATTGCACGTCTGCTGGCTGTAAATCTCTGGGCCAGGTGAGCCACGCAGGGCGAGAGCCACTGTCCAAGACGTCCAGTGCTGCAGACGGGGACTGCAGCCCTAAGGGTTCCTAGGGACTCAGTGTGTATTGGTCTGAATCTGTTGTTGCAGCTGGTCAAATCTATTCTGAATCCAGACCAGCAAGTTAAATATAATTCTTTTTTTCCTTTTTTTATTTTAAAGAGAAAAAATAAGAAAGAAACCACTACCACTACCCCAAAACCCTAAAAGAACAGGGATATAGGATTGCAAGACAAGATGTAGGAACTTAACAGTGGTTGTTACATGGCATATTGTTATCGTCAAAAGAGTTGCTGAGATTACCAGATATGGGCATGCAAGATTGATCAAACAGTATCAGCCCGAACTTTTCCTTTCCTTGGACTAATAGGATGAGTCTTGGCTGTCTTGTGTGTATATATACATATTTACACTGTTTTCGTTTTCCTTTCCGTCTTTTCTCCTTTCCCCCATCCCAGTTGTTTTTTCCCTTTGAGCGGTTTAAGTTTAATTCTTAAACATAATGGGTATGATAGAGAAGATCTAGTATTTAATTGACAGTTTAAAGCGTTGGAGAAGCAGAAGGGTGATTTCTTTCTGTCTTTTCCCAAATACATAAAACTTGGCAGTTGCTTTTTCATGTGTCTTGCTTTTCTTACTTCTGTGAGGAAAATAGAAGGGGAAGAAGGAGAGACGAAGGACCGAGAGGAGGAGTCACTTTCTCCGCACACGCACAGCTTCCTGATTTGATTTGTGTTCACGTGTCCCTTTTTGATTTTTAAAAAATGAATTCTGAAGGCCATTGTTGGTTTATAGCTAACGTTCTCCTTAGGAAAGCCAGACCTGTACCGGCTTTAAAGAAGTCACAGGGCAAGTGGTTGTAGCTGAGAGAAGAAGGCGGGCTAGAGTGGGCCGTTAGTGGGGAGCAGGCTGTGGGCTGAACCCCAAGCCTGTCCCTCCACTCTTCTGGTGCAGCCTGATGCAGGTCTCAGGAGAGCTTGTGGCCGCGTCACCGCATGATGATGCAGTTGTCACTAGCTCGGTGCTCTGTCATCTCCTCATACTGGGCCACTTGCATTTGTTCCATTGTAGCCAGGCTCTCAGAGCTGAGTACCTTGTGTGGACATCAGCCGCCGGCTTCACTATGTAGCTCAGGCTGGCCCTGAGCTCACTTAGTAGCCCAGGCTGGTCTCAAACTCTGAACGAGCGTCTTGCCTCAGCCTCCCAAGTGCTGGGATTACAGGAGTGTGCCACCACACCTAGCTAGACTTTTTTTTTGGAGGGGTGCCATTTTTTAAACAGCTAGTTTTGACAATATTTCACTTCATAATTTTCTGAGCATTTTCTTTTACGTTCTTTGGTGAACCTTAAAAACCTTGTGGGGAGTTGGTCCTTCTCTCCATGGAGAATCAAGACTGAATGCTTGCCAAAGGGACTCTGCCCCTCCTCCCTCTGTCACATGGGAGATGAACATCAAAACACATTTTCCCCCAGCATTAGGGAGGCTGAAGCAGGAGGACTGCTGTAACACAGTTGTCACTAGCATGATCCTCTCTTAAAGGCCAGCCTGGGCTACAAAAATGAGTTTAAGGCCAGTCTGAACTGCATAGCAAAGCCCTGTCTCAAGAAGATGTCCCCTTCCCCCCACATTTCCTGTCCCACCCCTGACACACTGGACAGTTGTGGTCAGGTGACAGGCTGACTTCAGTTCTCCTGGGTTGCAGGCAACTTCTTTAATTTTTAGAATAAATTTAAGGCATAAGTAGAAGAATGATGTAGACAGCGACCATGTCTTACTGGGAAAAAAAAAATCCTCGAAGTTTACTTCTGATGACTGCACTAATTTTTACTCAGCGAAAAGTTCTCCAGTTCCAAGTGAATACATAAAAGGTAAGCAAGCTCATTGTGCTTTCTCTGTGTCTCTCTTTGACTGCAGAATTTGCATCACATGGTTGTAGAAGTGCCTCGGTGGACAAATGCTAAGATGGAGGTGAGGAGGTTTCCTATCAATGTCAAATCCAAACGCTGTCTCAACACTGACACAGTAGCATTGTTCCTGGTAATTTGGCATCATATTTTGAATTGAAGAGGGTTGATAGACTTTTTTCTAATAAAACAACTGAAAAATAATCCTGTAAACTGTAATTTTAAAAAGAAAAGTGCTCAGAGCTTTGTACACATTGTAAAGCGAGTGCTTCTCCGTGTGCCTCTCTGGTTTGTTGGACACGTCTTTATTTAATTCTCAGTCTGCCCTTTCTTTGACGCAATGGCAATATTTCCAGGGATTACTGAAAAAAGATTCTGAAAAAAGATGTTCACAGACACAGTGTTTATTTGAGACTGAGGGCAATTTTGATTTCTGAGGACTTAATCCCTGAGATTTTATTCTGCCTGAAGTAAAACCATATTCCTAATTTAATATCTGAACACTAAGAACATCTGCTTTTCCCTAGTTAGCTTTTTGAAAAAAATTACTTTAAACTTTTCCATGAAACAGGAACCTGTCAAGAACAGCTGTTTTGCTTTTCGTGTCTGCTTATTCTTCATTTAGACAAGTTCCCTTACGGTTCTGCACAGAATTTCACGCTGACCCTTTAGTTCATGTACGTTTTTAAGCCTTTTGCACCTTGGGATGTGATGGCCAGCCTTGCTTTCCCATGTAAGTGAGGCATTTTTATATAGGTGTGTAATTTTCAGGGTTTATATTTGGGACGTGATTGGAAATTTTACCGGGTCCTGGTAGGGTCCTTGTTACCACTTTAATGGAAGTCAGAAGCGTTAGGTGCTTCTCTTGATCGTGAGTTGTAATGTTTTATCGTTCATCCTCTGGCAACCTCAGCTTAGTGCAGAACCAAAGGTCTGAGTCTTAGCTGTGGTAGGCAGTGTAGTTTTATTTTAAACCATAGATTATTTTTTCCACTCTTTGAATGTCAGTGTTCATGAATATGTTTGATAGAGAATTAATTTTGAAATGAAATCACTTGATAAAAATGAGTCTTTTTATAATGATTTAGAAAAATTTTATTGCAAAAAGACAATTTATATATATATATGTATATATTTTTCGTCTTTTTCTTTTTTTTTTTTTTTTATCGGTACCAGGGATCAAACTCACGACCACACACTTGTAAGGCAGGTGCTTATGCCACTGAGCTAAATCCCCAGCCCCAATTTATATGCATTTAAGGAATCAAACATAATATTGTGATTTACTGTGTTTGCTGTGCAATTGATCTCAAAAACAGAAGCAGCCAGGCATGGTAGCGCATGCCTATAATCCCAGCACTCAGGAGGCTGAGACAGGAGGATCACTATGAGTTTGAGGCCAGCCTGAACTGCATAGTGAGACCTTGTCTGAAAACAAACAAATAAAAACAAATACAAAAGCAAACCACCCCAACCACGTCCTCTGGTCACAGATCTCATGCCTTTTGACTGCAGACTCCCCGTTCCTCAGATCTATAACCACCATTGTACTTTGTTGCCTTTTTAAAATTTTAAATTAAATTTAGCTTAACAGATCCATGAAAGTCTAACACTGCACATAGCCACGGGGCACCGTGTGATATTTTGACACCTGACATACATTCTGTAGTGTGGAAGTCCAGTCCAACGTCTGTCTCCTCGAATATCAATGGTTTCTTTATGATAAAAGCCTTCCAAATCCCTTCTGGCTTTCTCAGCACCCAGCACATTTGTGTTGCCTGAGGTCACCAGGCCATGCAGGAGCACACTAAGCTTGTCTGGTCTGCCTGCCCCTTGGGTCCCCTCCCCTGGCCCCCAGTCACCCCCATTCCACCCTCAAGTTCCTGGAGACCCCACATCTGAGTGAGCTTGTGCTGTGCCTTGCTGGTCTCACTTGGTATAGGGGTCTTTAGCTCCATCTGTGCTGTCAAAGGTGACCAGATTTTGTCCTTGTGGTGTCCAAGCAATGGCCCACGGTGTCCCTGCACCACATCCTCTTGGCCCGGGCTCTCGGGGGCAGAGCTGCCCTGAGCGTGTCTGTGTGTCTGGAGTGTGGCTGTGGTTGCAGGATCCTTCTGCTTTCGGGTTTGTCGAGGGACCTCCCTTCCCTTTTCCATGGTGGCTCTCTGGAGTTCGGGGAGGCTGCCTGTTCCCCAGGGTAGCCATCGCCTGTCGTCTTGTCGTCTAAAGTCACCGTCCTTACTGAGGTGAAGCGATGGCTCATTGGTTCTGAGATGCGCTGTGCTGATGACCAGGCACACCACTCATTTTCTCATGAACACTCAGCCGTTTGTGTTTTGTCTTCGTTTAAGAAATGTCTAGGTCTGTGGTTCACTTTCATTATCAGGCGGTTCTGCTGCGGACTTTTGGGGGCTCCTTACACTACAGTCCTTGGTCAGATGGGTGTATGGTAGATATTTTCTCCCACTCTGTATGTTTTCTCTGCATTCTGTTGGTTATTTCCTTTGCTGTTCAGAGCCTTTTAATTTTGATATAATCCTATTTATCCGTTTTTGCTTTTGTTGCCTGTGCTTTTAGGGTCAAGTCCATCTACCTTCAGAAAAATCATTTCCCAAACCAATGTGTAGTTCTTTCTTTTGTTTTTGTAAAGAGTAGCTTAATGGTTTCTGATTTTAATGTTTTTAAGTCTTTAATCCATTTTTGTGTGTGTATGTTTTTTTTGTTTTTGTTTTTGTACCAGGGATCGAACTCCTGACCTTGCGCTTGCCAGGCAGGCATTTATGCTGCTGAAACTAAATCCCCAGCCCATTTTATATTGTGTTGATTTTTGCGGAAGTGTGAGGTGCCAGGGTTCAGTTTCATTCTCCGATTGTGAATATCCAGTTTTCCTAATTGAAGAGGTCATGCTTTTTGCCGTTATGAATTATCAGCATCATCTTTGAAAGTCAGTTGTCCACACAGAGCTGGCTCATTTCTGGTTTTTCTTCTACTTCACTGGTCAGTGTGTCCGAATTTCTTGGTGCTGCCAGGCTGTTTTGTAGTTAGTTTGGATTCACGTTTTGTTGCCATGGTGATTCAGGGCTTATTTGTGGTTCCATGTGACCTTTGGGATTGTTTGTTTTTGTATTTCCATCTTTGAAATGTTACGTTTGAGTTTCTGGATAGGGGTTGTGTTCAGCTTGGTTCCCAGAATGTTGAGTAGCATGCAGCCTGAGCCTGAGTATCTTCCCACTTACATCTCTCTAATTTTTTTCATCGATATTTTACAGTTTTCAGTGTGTGGATCTTTCTCTTCCTTGATTAAATTTATTCCGAGTGTTTTAAAGTTGTTATTGTAAATGGAATTGTTCTCTTGATTTCTTGTGTAGGTAATTTGTTGTTTAGGGTATAGAATGCTACAGATTTTTGTGTGTTAATTTTGTGTCCTGCAACTTTCCTGTATTTATTTATCCTGTGTATGTATGTGTGTGATCTTTACGGTTTTTGATATTATGACTGTGTTATCAGCAAGCACTAATGATTTCATTGCTTCCTTTCCGACTTGCATTCCGTCGGTTTCTCCTGTCTGGTAGAGGTGGCCAGGGCTCCCGGGAGTCTGTTACATACAAGTGACAGGAGGCACCTCCTCAACTCGCTTCAGATCTGACAGGAAAGATTTCAGTCTTTCACCGCTGAGTATGTGGTGACAATCTTCAAGTTAACTTCATTATCAAAGATTCTTGGTAATAAAAGACCCAAGATTAATAACCAAAAGCAAATTGATTAAACTTTTTTTTTGAGACAGGGTTTTATTATGCAGTTCCGGCTGGCCTTGAACTCACTTGGTAGCCCAGGCTGGTCTCAAACTTTGAACGATCCCCCTGCCTCAGCCTCCTGAGTGCTGAAATTACAGGTGTGCACCACTGTGATTAATCTTTATCCTCTTGCTATTTCAACCATTTTATTATTTGTGTTAGAAATGAAGAATACCTAAATAATATAGAGCCTAAGTATATAACTGGATGTTTCCTTTTTCTAGAAAATTTTTCTTACATGGTACTATAAATTAGTAAAAGAGAGCTGGCTTAATTTATTTTAAAGCACCTTTGTTCATGAAGTTGGACTATGGATATTTTGCTTTAAAGTGGCAGATTTACCAAATACCACTTGCATGTAGAACTCATCATTTCACACCCCCTCTGCCACCCCCCGTGACCCATCAGATCGCCACCAGTGAGCCCCTGAATCCCATTAAGCAGGACATGAAGCGTGACAAGCCCCGCTACGTGGCCAACGTCTTCCCTCACAAGGGCTACATATGGAACTACGGCGCCCTCCCGCAGGTAACGTTTCTGTTACAGTGCTAAAACTGCTCTGTCTTCTGAAAAAATTGCCTTGTAAATCCTGTGAACCACTTGAATTTAAATTGGTTCCAAGGACATGTCATTGTGAGAGATTTGTAAATTTGAAATTTTTTAATGTGGGGTTTTATTGTATCAATAAATTCTGTTTCACGGCGTTTTTATGTCCGTACTTGGTTTCATGGAGTCAGGCTCACGGGGCATTGACATGTGGCATTTGGAGCACGTTTCTTTTTCTTGGTTTGGCTGTTGTGTCAGTGAACGATTTTGCAGCAAGGGTTTCTCTGTAGTTAGCCCTTTAATTATACTTTCTTACACATTGATATATGATAAATTTTTAAAGCTCAACGGATGGATCTTTTAAGTAGTAACTTTTTTCCAAGCACCTTGCAAAGTGTGTTAGAGAACTTTTAATTTTTTTATTCACCATCATGAGTTCATAATTTTTAAGTGGAAAGCAGTAAAAATGTGGACCATGAAGGCCAAAACATGGGAAGGGAACGATGCTGTTGGGAAATTTCACTTCCTGTTTGCTTTTCTTCCTGCTCGGCTGTCACCCAGGCAGGCAGCCATTCTTCAGGTTCTGTGGTGAGCAAAACTCAGTCTCCCGAGTTGGATCCAAATAGGATTTGGTGACATCGGGAAGCATTTATTTGCTTTGGTGTTTATAACACCCATTAGATCATCTCTCTGTCCAGAAAGTGAACCTTTTTATGGATGAATTCTAATATTTCACATCAGCTTCCAACATGCTGCTGGGGGAACCGTCTAGGAAACAGGGGAGGGCATCTGGCTTTGCATAAGCAGGATGAACATCTGGCAGCGTAGAGTGAATGCTCACAGGAAAGCAGAAAGAACCAGGCGGTGCGAGGCATGGTTGTGCCCAGCCAGCTACCCACCGCACACTCTTGCGCAAGCAAGGGAGAGGGAGGAGAGGGAACTGGAAAAGGGGGCTTCTGGCCCCCAAAGCCCTGAGGAGACCCCTGCAGAGCTTAGGGCGTCCTGAGAGGAAAGAAGTGGGGATGTGGGGCGGGCAGAGCAGCTGGGCTGCACTCAGACTCCCGGAGCGAGCGCTCTTTTCCTAAGCCACCCCTGGGGCTCTGTGAGCCAGGCAGTGCACTGGGTGTGTGTGTGCGGGACGGATGAGATTCGGGGATCAGTGCAAGGCTGCAGCAGAAGATGGAGAATACACAGCAGCGAGGTGGAGCTTTCTCACAGGGGAAGGGGACCAGGAGAGAACCAGCCACGCACGGGAGCGCAGACATTAGCACTGCAGATGCAGACGGTCGTCGTCTGTAGTAGTAATGTGACTGTTCGTGCTTTCATTACCATCCAGCGTTACCTACACCCTGATTGGGGTGACTGACAGTGAAGCCAGGGGTGCAGTGTAGCTTAGTGAGGCCTACTCATTTACTGTGGAAGGGGCGAGAGTTGGAGGCAGAGGTGAAGGAAGCTTCTCTAGCTTTCGGTTGACAACGCTGCCGAGTTTCCCTTTCCTCTGGACGCGTTTGTTTCTCGGGTGTGCCTGTCTGATGTGCTCTCGACTCGTTAGGTGCAGTAGTTTTTCTCTTAGTAAGACTCAATAATGTGTCCGGAATCTCTTAATTTGTGATTTACTCTGCAGTCTCTTTAGCTCATCTGAATGTCATCACTCTATCATTTAGTGTCAAATGCAATGCACTATTTACTTACTTGTTTACTTACTTTGGAGATAGGCTCTTCCTGTGTGGTTCAGGCTGGTCTTGAACTCCCTATGGTAGCCAGGCTGGCCTCAGACTTGCCGAAGTCTTTCTGCCTCACCCTCCCAAGTGCTGGGATTTTAGTCTGTACCACCACACCCAGTACAAAAGTGATATTTTAAAAATAAAAATCTAGTCGGGTGTCGTGGCATACTCCTGCAATCTCAGTACTCAGGAGGCTGAGGCAAGAGGATCTGTATGAGTTCAAAGCTGCGAGACCCCATCAAAAAAAAAAAAAAATCTGGAAATGGCTTTCCCATCCAAAAACACCCCAAGGCCTCCTGTTCCTAAGAGGAAAACGTGGACTCTTGCCATGGCCCCAGTTCCACATGACAGGGCCTCCACTGCCTCTGCTTGCTGGTGCCCCGTCCCCCTGGGCTGCTTCCTCTCTGCCGTGCCGTCTTTGGAGTTTTAACCTCAGATCTGCACAGCGTTGCTCGCTCCTTCCTCCCTCCCTTCCACTCATATTCTGGAGTGCTCAGTGTTGTTCTAACTCCTGGAGCAAAAGCAGTGTTAAAAGCGGCAGAACTTTCTGGAACTGCTCTGTGAGGTCAGCGGTGGCTGTGGCCAATGTGGGGCAGGGATGCTGACCGGGAGGGGAATGGGGTGAGGGCTGGAGGGAGCCGGGGTGGCAGGCCCTGACACACTGAGGGAAGAGCAGCCAGCTTGGGCAGCAGTGGAGGTGCCCAGCACTGGATGGCGGTGGACAGGGCTGACCCTGCATCTGGACCTCCGAGAACCAGGCTGACCTCACGTATACATGCTACAGATCGTGCATGCTGAGCTATCTACCCTTCCCTACAGAGGTACCTGTTCACCTCCTAAGGAATTTGTCCCTAAGTCACCTTCGTCACGACATCCATCAGACGTCCTTTGAAACCTTTGACCAGCTGGAAGTGGTGGTGCACGCCTGTAATCCCAGCACTCAGGAGGCTGAGGCAAGAGAATCAGCTTGGGTCAAGGCCAGCCTGGGCTGCACAGCAAGAACCCGACTCAGAACAGACAAAACAAAAATTTGATCATGATTCCTGAAGTTCCTACTTTCATGCTTTATTTTGCCCCTTTTCATCACACTAGCCAAATTGTAATCTGCTGGATAATTTGTTAGTTTTCATGTGTATTGTTTTATTCTGGCTGAAGCCCAGAGTTCCGGAGAGCCAGTATTCATCTGTTCTATTAATGGTTCTGTCCCAGTCGCCAGCTCAATGCATGGCACTGGGATGACTAATAAATACTTGGATCCTGAATGAATGAATGCAGTATGTCTGTTTGTTTTGGAGGCGCACACAGATGTCAGCTCTCGCAGCCCACCCTGGGATTTGTCTAGTAACAGGAAGAATTTGGTTGAGAGCAGTTACCAAGCCTACTGTTTGGAGGGCATTTAAGCAGAGGAATTCTGTTCAAGGGGAAACCTGTCCACGTTTCTGCAGCTCACTACGATCCTGTGGAGATGCTTTGCTATCAGGGTCTTAATGACTTTTTCCCATAGTGCCTTGCTCCAAGTTTTCGTTTTCCCATAGTGCCTTGCTCCAGGTTTTCCTTTGGCTGTGGTAAAAATCGTTTTATCCACACATCACAGGCCAAGCAGTTTCCGAGTGAATATTTAGACTGTGTGTCTGGATAAAATTGGAGGACTGGACTCATTTTAGAGTCAAGGTTTCTTCAGTCTTACTGGAAGGACTTCCAGGACGATGCAGAGTGCTAAGCAGCAGGGAACACAGCCTCTCTGAGGGTCACCGTCTAGATGCGGGAATAGAGCATCATGAGGAAGGCAAGAAGGAAGGAAGTGGGTCCTCTGGGCATGGAAGAGTCTGAAGTATGAAGCGAAGCCCACAGAGAGAGTGAAGAGAGAAAGTTCCAATGAAGAAGAAGGTGGGAGCCAGTGGTGCCTTTTCCCTGAATCGGGGCTCACTGTGCAAGAGGAGCAGTTGGAACTTGGGAGCGCTTGGTCACGGTGACAGTGATGGCCGGTTACCCCAGAGGCCTCTGCAGAAAGACACAGCAGTGGAACAGAGCAGCGGACATGGGGGACTGCACTGGCTGTCGATATTGGTCTCAGTAATCCATGATTGAGATTAATTAAGGGACACAATAAATGCTGTGTACAGTGCCAGAGAACCACGGACCAGGCCAAACAAGCAACCACTCGTCATCTCCAACAAACGGAAGAGGTCAGATCTTCCAACAGACTCAAAACCCAAACACCAGCTACACCTGGAAGATACCTCAGAGAAGTAATCATCATCTAAGTGTCCTAAATACCAGCAGTAAAGCACCCCACCACAGGCACCTTGCAAGCATCACCCCAGGAATTAAACTAAAAAAAGAGAGAAAATGGAAGACACCTAAGCAAATGCAGCCCAGACATCCAGTTCAGCAGCTCTGTTCCAGACTAGATCAGTAACGTGCGGATTCAGATTGATTCGTTTTTACAGGTGAACAGTCATCAGTATGGCATTGTGCAGTACAAGCAAAAATATGGACAGTGTTTCAAAAATCTTTCAAAAACATGCACACTGTCATGAATCCCTCTCAGAATACTCCCTCTGCCTTCTCTGACTCGAGCTGGCCAGCCCTCTGTTTTAGATACACTTTCTCATTCAGGCTAATTTAAATTCAGTGAGCATTCACTATTGCAAGTTTGCAGGCTGTCTGTGCAAAGCGAGGTCTCTGCTTCTGTAGAACTTGCACCGTGTGGGGAAGACAGAGCCTTATCCTAGGTGCGGTAAGAAACACTGTAGGTGTTTGCGACTGTGTGAGGAACTGTCACCGTGAAAGCCACACTGTCTGAGTCCCCCTCAGAGTGCTGCCCCTTGGTTTGAATATTGATCCGATGGTTCTTGCCTCTTTTTAAAGCAGATTGGAACGCCCGTTCCCTCAGTGCCTTTAGTTGCACTGTCTCAGCTGTCTCCATGTCCTCGGTTGATTCCAAATGTTCCTGGTCATTTTGGCTTTGGGGAAGCCAAGGTCACACAGTGCCAAGTCTGGTGAATGAGGTAGATGAGGACCCTACATCAGCTTTTTGTGAGGCCGATTTCTGTTGTATGGTGCTTAGTGGCAAAATTCACTATATTTTTTCTCACATCTCATAAAGACACTTAGGAAAGATTGTTGGAGTTATCTGGCGCAATAGAGAAGCAAAAAGTACAAAAGAGCAGGTTTATTGAGTTGAGGATGTGGAAAGGAGCACACAACCCATGGCAGCTGAGATGTCTCCTTCAATCAGGGACGGAGAGGCAGGAGTTTATAGGACTCTGACTGGAAGTGGTGCCTGGGGCAGATACTGATGACATGTGAGGAACTGATTGGAATTCTCTGCGTGCAAACCAGAAGGGAAGTTGCAGGCAGGGCTGGAGAAGGAGGAGGATGTGTTAAGTGTTCCCACTTTGGCCTTCCACCACGTTAGACCACTGCCATAACTGTGCAGTAATTTATACTGGGGCAAGAACCTTTCAAAGAAGACCTCCAGAGCTGCTTCAGAAAGTGGCAAGGACCATGCAGTAGGTGTTCAAAGAGAGGAAGAAGATTTCGTAGGTGAATTATGGCAGTGTGTCTTCTATTGTAACAGTTTTTAAAAGAATTTGAATACTCATCTTAGTTTTGATCAGCTCTTATGTTTATTTTTCTACTCGTAGGTTGTTTGTGCTTTTTGTTAACACCTTTCTTGAGTCCCTGCTAATTTTTTTCTGATGTGTAGGTATATACTTATGAGTCAGATTTTGAATTGTGTGCATATTTTACTGAGTATCCCCAAACTGTTTACCAAAAGAAGTTGCAATGGTTTAAAATTCTGCTGCCAATATTACATGGTGTTCCAGGTACCCTATTTGGGATTACCAAATTTTTAAATAAAGTTGTTGAGATAGTGTTGCATTGTGGTTTTAATTTGTATTTCTCTGATGAGTATCTTTTTATAAATTTGTAAACTGTTCATCTTTCTTTTTCATTGAGTTACCTGTTCATGTCTTCAGCCCGTTTTCTCTGGTTTGCCCATTTTCTTTCTAACTGTGTAAGTTATTTCTGTAATAGTAAAAACAAGTACTTAAGTGTTGATCTTTCTCCTCTTGCTGTACTTTCTAGTTGTTTCTCTGCATAGTTACCTACCTAAACTTCCACAAGAGGGCGTGCTCCCAAAGCGTTAAGTTGAGTATGCTTTCCTCTATCGAAGCTATTCTATATTTTCAAGTTAAATTTGAGGTCACTTCTTGTATATCTCTTATTGTAATAACACTAAAGCCTGTAGATGTAGAATGCTAAAGACAGAGATAGAAATAGAAAGAACTAGTCTGATATTTTTGCTGGTACAGAAAATCATAAAGAAATGACCTTAAAACTAACAATTACCATATAGCCAAAGAGCCTGCAGTTCTACAGATATAACTTCAACAGTAGGAACTAAATTTATAGGAAATATTGAAAATGGAGCTTTGGGAGGGTGCACACCAAGCAGCCATACAAACACCCACAAATACCAAATTGAGACTTAGTTACAGGAAGACAGGTTTCATCTCAGTGTGAGGAAGGATTTTCTTAAAATGAACACCAGTCACCACAGCCTGACTTAGCCAGTGGGTTTGTGAGCTTCCTGTTCACAGGAGTTCGTGCAGGCTGAGAGAACTAACAGCCTCGGAGGTCTTGCATAGGGTGTGGCTAAAGCTTGCCTTATGCAAGCCATGCTTTCTGTAGCTGGCAGCTGTGAGCTCTGGATGATGTCATGGGTGTTTGTGGCTCAGGTGGGGCTAGTGATGCTGTCTCTGTGTAGGCCCGGGTGGGTTCTAGTGGGTCACATTTTCCTCTCCCGGAGTAGGGGTGCTGATAGGGGCCCGTGAAGGGATTCTTGCCGTAGGAAAGAGGAACCTCGATGATCTGACTTTCTGACCTGGGTTGGCAGATGCCAGTCATACCGCGATCCTCGTTGGTGTCCCCGGGGTGTTCAGATGACTCCTCCAGCCCTGGCTACCAGGGCCGCACCCCATACTAACCTGGCAGTCCCCGGGTACGGCTGTCTCTGGCCCGAGTGGGTCCTCGGTAGACGGCACACTGTGTGATCGGAGGCCTGGTGAGGGGCAGCAGGAGGGAAGTGGAGGAAAGAAAAACAAGACAAGGACGAATCTCCAGGAGAGCGCGTGCTGGGAGATGATGAGACCAAGAAAGGTATTCAGAAGATGAGGGCCGCAAAATAAAATTTTCCATTGTTAGCAAAATGTGGACGGCACAAATGATGATGAGCAACATGAGGTCTAACCCTGTCTCTTTGATTTCAAAACTATGAGCTCAGGCAAGGGTAAGCCATTCCCGCCAGCCTGGACCATGTTCCCGTGAGCAACTGTCCCCTCCTGTGGCTCATGACGCTGGTAGGGCGAACAGATTGGGTCACTTTTATTTGTCTTTTCACTTTTTTACTTAATAGGAAGGCTGTAAATGTTTCAAGTTTAGTTGATTACTTGAATTTGAAAATTTTCTGCCCAAATATAAATATTACTTAATGCTTCTCATACCAACTAAAAGTTATTACAATAATGAAGAAATGCATTGATGTTATTAACATACATTATTTATGTTGATGAATTTTTTAAAAACATTTTATACCTAAAAGCAGTCTATTTGTGCAGCATGCACAGAATGGCATAATGTGTTTGGTTTTTTCTGTGGCCACAGTGACCCCCCACTTTTCAGGTCATTTTTGTAATATTCTCTGCATCACTGGTGAGCACTTCTTGCCAGTTCTGAATAAGCTGCTATAAAGCAAAGGGGTTTTTTTTGCAAGTAATTTGTGCCCATGGTATCTCTTCACAGGTTAGTAGTTGATCCATAATTAGTTCTCTAAATTTTAACATGGAAATCTCACAAGTACCCCATTGCTGGTATATGTAATACGCATTTACACTGCTGTCTTACAGTTTTTTAGACCATTTTAATGTTTGCCTTAAGCAACTGTAACGTGAGCTGCGAAATCAAATGTCTCTCTTTGCCCTGTTGTAATCCAAAACCCCCTGAGAAGTGATACGCAGCTCATAATGGGATAGACATGCACGCATCACCGGCGCTGCAAGCTGGTGAGGTCAGATTCAGATTGGAGTCACCTGCTACATGCATTATGGCCCTGTTGTGAACATGTTCAACACTTTCTCCGTTTCTTGTTTTGTGGATCTTTACTGTGGAGTCCTCACAGGGTGTGAGATGCCAGCTAGGAAGTGTCTCTCACCTGTAACCAGTGGACAAGGGCAACCGTTATGGTAACTTATATTTTATTAGTAGCATTAGTGTTTAAAGTAGTAAAATCTTACTGAACCTGATTTTTTTTGTGTGTGTGTATCTTTTTGAGTTGAGGTCTCACTATGCAGTTCAGACTGGCCTTGAGCTCACTTTGTAGCCCACGCTGGTCTCGAACCCTCAATAGTCCTGCCTCAGCCTCCTGAGTGCTGGGATTATAGGCATGTGCCACCACATCTGGCCTTGGACTTGATAGCTAAAAAAATTTAGATGAATTTATTCCTAGCTATCCTATAATTAAGACTAAGAGGAAAATATTGGAGTTTGTCTAGGGTTTAGCTGTAAATAAGTGTCATTTTTAGTTATTTGTATAAAATTAGGAAAACTAAACTTTGATAATTCGAAATGCAAGGTAATGGGGATCATGAATCTTGAGGTAATGCTGTTTTTGCATCTGTTACAATGTCAATTCACGGCAGATAACTTTAGGAAACTTCTGTAGCTCCACTTAGACTCACGCAATTATGAAGCTTGTTGAACAACAGGAGGCAGCGGTACAGAACCGATGGCATGCGTGCCTCAGCAGGCTGTTTACGTCATTGAGAGCTCTGACAGGTTCGCCATCACTGGCCAAGGGGAGATGTAAACCTGATTGCAAACTTAGATCACACTATTCCTTTATAAAAATGCAATGTGCGTTTTGCAGACAATGGGGTAATCTTGCTGAGTAACTTTGCATGTTTCAGTCAAGATCTTGAGATTTGATGGCAAAGATAGCTTTTTTTAAGTAGACTGAAATGAACAAAAACATGTTCTTTTTGCATGGTGTCCAATGTCCTGTGGTCTAGTTTTTGAAGGGAAAAAGGTGGCTGCTCGTAGACACCTTTTAGGGGACAGGACTTTTATTTACAAGTGCAGAAATTTTGGTCTCTGAAGCCATCCCACGGGAGAGGAAGCTGCAAGAGACAGCGGCCACAGGGGAGGCTGGGGCAGGAACCCGGGAATCAGGGCAGGGACGGTGCAGCATCTACACAGAGCTGAGCAAGCCAGTGTAGACCCTGAGGAGCCCAGAAGATGAGTTGTCTGGAAACACCTCCCTCTGGGAGACAGGATGACAGGGACAAACCAGGACAGGAAGGAGGACACCGGCATGCTTGGGGACGCCCTGGCACCTGGGCCTCAAGTCTGGCTGATTTCTGAGGATTTTCACTTGGTTTCTGGGCATCTGTAAAACTTAATGATCGTGTGGAGAGACTGAGACACACTCCAGTGCCTGTTAACCTACATTTCTGATTCTTTTCTTCTTTTAATTTTTTTTAGACTTGGGAAGACCCTAATCACAGAAGTAAGCACACAGGCTGCTGTGGAGATAACGATCCCATTGATGTTTGTGAAATCGGCTCAAAGGTTTGTTTTGTAGGTGATGTTAATGCAGAGGCAGGAGGTTTGGCTTTGTTTGTGCAGTGAACTTTCACCTCAGCCCCAAGTTCTTTCAGAGCTGGAGACTGCGGATTCCTCTGCGGTGTGGGCTCTCTTGTCATCACCTCCCTCTCTCATGCCAGGGTTGCTAACTCACACTGTCCAGTTTCGTAACAAGCATAGCACATTTGGGCACGTGTCCTCCATCCGAGCTGCATCTGTGCTGCAAAAGCACAGTCAGGAATCCACACGGCCCTGAAGTTCACACTGTGATCCTCTTTAGGAAGTTCGCAGCCCCTTCCTGGCTTCTTTGCCACTTTCCAGCAAGAAACTTCACTGCTGGCGAAGCCAGCTGGTATCTTTTTTCTTTTCTGTAGCTGCTCCTGGACTGTCAGGTCCTGTCAGTGACAGCAGAGCCCACCAGCTCACGCACTGTTGCGCCTCCTCAGTTCTGCGTGTCCTCAGCTCGTCTCTGCTGTCCGACTGCTGGCATTGCCTGTTCTCTGGGGACACCCACTCTTCCTACTTTGTCCCCACTCGCAGCGGTGTCTGCTCCTCCTTCCCACGGAGCTTGACGCCTGCCTCCGCCTGTGTGCTGCATCCTGCGTTTCCTGTCTTTCCGCAATCTGTTTTCTCAGCCTCTTTTCTGTGTTCACCAAGGGGTAGTTGAAGCTGACGGCGAGCTTCCATTCTGCTGTACCTTTGTAAATGCATCGTGTGGAGTTGACATCCTTGTGTGTTTTCCTGGAGATCTTGAACTTTGACTCCAACGCATCTTGTTTCCCATCATCTCCAAGCCCCTGCAAGAGCTTGCTTCTCTGTCCACTGTGTTGTTTCATAAGGCGGCTTTACTGAGGCCTCCCGTGACGTTCCCTGCACCAAACCCAGCAAACCTGTTTTGTGGGCTTCGCCCTGAGTTGTGTCAGCCCTGTGTGCTGGATGCCCCGCTCGATCCCACACCATCCTGACATCTTGCATGCCCTCCGTCATCCTGGCTCCTTCCGTCATCCTGGCTCCATCTTGGTCTCCTGCTGGCTCACGTCTTCTGCCTGTCCCTGGGGTGCTGGCTGGACGGTGTGCCCTTCTGTACTTCCTGTGTGGCAGCCCGTCCCTTGCAATTCTGGTGTTGCTCTCAAATTGATGCCCCTAGTTTCCGTCCTCACCTCCGCCTGTGTCTACTCTGGGATGTTTTCCTGCTTCTCAGACTCATCATGTCTGAAACCGTATTCATTTTTCCCCTCTCTGATTCACCGTCTTTTAATGTTTTCAGTCTCATGGACAACATCTGTCTTGCATTCTCTCCATCTCCAGATTTTGAAGTGGAAACCCGGCTGTGATCTGGGTCATTCCTGGCCATTTTTCTTCATGTTAATCACGCAGTTTTGAGTCCCTGCCCTGAAGAGCTTTGACGTCTTTGTCCACCCTCACGGCCGCTGGTTTTGTCACATGCCCTGTGCCGTCTCGCATGGATTCTCCTGGCCACTTCCTGGTCTCCTCACTGAGTCTTGCTTTCCCTGCTGGCCTTACTCCATAGTCCTCTAAACCCTGCCCACCTCTTCCTGCTTCCGTGGCCGCCTCCTGGTTTGCACACCCTGAAGCCACACTGATTGTTTGGTCCCTCGTGCATCTACCTGCTCACGCCCAGGTCTCTGCCATCGCTGTTCCTTCTGCGAGGATGGACTGTTCTGTCTGCACCTCTCTCCTAAAATCCGCTTCCTCTGGGAAGTGCCCCGTAACCCCCGAGCCTGCAGTGACCGCTGGGTGTCATGTGCTCCACGCCTTCCCTGTGAGCAGGCAGTGAGCTTGGTGGGGACAGCCTCGTCCTGGTCTGTCCCGAGAGGAGGTGACAGTGCAGGCCTGGCACGGAGCGTGCACCTCTGTCTTAAGATCGCAGCTGAGTTGTTCTAGTGCAGGTGCTGGCCTTTAGCTTTAGAGACTCAGGTTCGTGTCTTTATCTTTATTTACCCTATTTTGTTGCTTCCTTTTTGTCTTTGATTTTTGAGGGGAGAGTGGTATACCGGCAGTGGAACCCAGGACCTCACCCTTGACGTGCAGGGGCTGCCCTGCTGAGCTAAATCCCCGGCCGCTGTCCTGGTCTTCTCCTCCTCCTCCTTCTCCTCCTCTGTTCTTCCCCTCGTTTTTCTTTCCTTTGCTTTTTCTCTTCTGTTCTTCATTTTCTTTGCTTTCCTTCTCCTTCCTCCATCTCTGCAGTCTTCCTTGCATTCCTTGCAGTCTCCTCTTTCCCCACCTCTTACTCCTGTCCTGCAGGGAGAGAGCTCATTCCTCACAAATTTCTGATTTTATTAGAGTCCCTGTATGTCACTAGCAGAAATACATCCAGAGTGTAAGCTTTCTTTCAAATTTATGCTCATCTGGGAACTTGTGTTTTTTTTTAATGTAGGCGTAGAAGTGTATGCGTGTGTGTGTGTGTGTGTGTGTGTGTGTGTGTGTGTGTGTGTGTGTGATGAGTAGGTCCGGAGGAGGCGGGGGTGTACACTCTCACTGTCGGTCCCTCCTCTACCCGGTACACTACCCTAGTTTTTTCACCCCGCTTCTGTGTCTTATTTCGAAATCAGAAGGGTCACTGCATTAAGCAACATTCCGTTGATCGTAAGAGTACATCTCAGAGAACTGTTGGGGCACAGTGCCCGCCCCACTGAGGTCACATTCAGTGCACACTGTTAAGTCTGTTTATGCAAGTACAGAGGGACTTCAGTTCTTGAGCACTTTTGTGAACAATTTGGTTCACATACAGGAGCATTTGGTGAAAATTTTTATTTCCTCTGCAAACTCTGTGTTGTGCAGTGAAGGTGACCGCTACCATCTTTCCCACGCAAACACAGATGTGGCCATCTCCTCCAGAACCGTGGGACTACAAATTGAGTTCGTGAACTGAGGTAGCACTGAATTAATTTTGAGTGAAGAGATTAAATAGAAATGTCTAATGTTCACCTGTGTTAAAATGTGTCAAGGAATGTTAATATGCCAGGGAACATATGTCAGGGGATATTCCAATTAATGAGGCTTAATTGGCGGAAACCTTACACAAATACATGAAGCTGGTAAACTGTTTTGACTTAGTAATTCTGATTCATTACCAACAGATGAAGGAGTGTCTCTCAGAAACCAATATGGATTTTTAAAGAAATATGTCAAATCCACTAAATATGGTGAATAAAATTTAAAAGTGTAAATCCAAGTAGTTCTTAATATGACATAATTAATATTAAAAACATAATTGTACATTTTACATATAAATCCAGACACATAGTTGGTGTATAGTACCTAGTCACTAAAATATATCAACTATTATTTTGCATAAGTGTAGTATTAATATAAGTGATGAAACAAGTACAATTCAAAATATTGTGAAGTGTACAGAGAACTTCTCATGGACCGAGGGCTGTCTATCAAAGCAGGGATGATACCCTCAGATGGTAAAATGACTGAAGTGACACAGACGAAAAATAAACTCCAAAGCAGCACAGTTGCTGCTGTATTCTAGAACTTAGAGATTTCAAGTTATAATAAGAGAATTAAGATCAAGCACAAATATTCTCTTACAGTCCTGATATCCCAGTAAGTTATCTGTGTTTATCTTTCCATGTTTTCTTCATCACTGGATAAGTATGTGAATATTTAGAGTTTACTGGGCATTCTTCCCATTTATTTCCTGGTATACAATTGATATAGATAAAGACATTTTTTGTGGGTGTCACATTTCCAAAGTGGCACCCCGAGACGTCTGCCCACAGCTTAGAGTCTGTGCGTGTGGTGAGCTAGTGCTGCTGGAGAGCTCAAGGAGGTTGAGGCAGGAGGATCATTGCACGCTCAAGACCAGCCTGAGCTACAAAGTGAGCCCGAGGCCAGCCTGAACTGCAGGTCTAAAAACACACAAACAAACAAAAACTGAAGAGTGTCCTCTGGCTGGTGGCAGAAGAGGAGTGAGAAGCCGAATGCACTGCTGCGGTGTGGAGGGAAAGACAGCTCAGGAGAGGAAAGCAGAGGCCATCCCTGAGTGACATCCAGCATATAAACAGGGACCTGATTCCCCTGAGGTGGGATCTTCCCTGGTTTTTGTTTTGTGTGACCATTGGGACAGAATGAAGCCATGCTGGGCCTGGACTTCTGACCCACGGAAACCGAGAGAGTGGACTTCCGGACTTCCACCACGGGGACCTCTAAGTTTGACAAAAATTTGCACACAGCATTGGAAACCTAATTCTGGGATCTTGGGCTTTAAGAGGTTTTTTTCTTTTTTTTAAATCGGTACCAGGGATCGAACTCACGACCACCTGCTTGCAAGACAGGCGCTTATGCCACTGAGCTAAATCCCCAGCCTTTAAGAGTATTTGTTCCCATTTCTTTCTTGGGCAGATCGGGCCCAGGTGGCGTTTCCCTTTTTCAGGGTCGTGGTCAGCACACAGCTTCTTGGCCCAGCACACAGTGTGAAGGTGAGGCTGAGGAGAACATGCATCAGCCAGAGGGGGGAATCAGTGTCCACTGGCGGCTCATGGACATGTTATTTCCTGCACTCTATTTCAGCTTCGTGGAAAGTAAATGACACGATCTCCATTTTCTGTTGAGAAACTGAACTACGGTGTGAATTCGCCTCAGGTCATCCCTTAGAAGGTGGAGGAAGAACTCTGGGTTTCTGCCTGGGAAAACCCCGTCTTTTGTACCGGGGATTGAACTCATGACCTCACGCTTGCCAGGCAAAAAACTTATCTTCTGAAGTGTCTCCAGAGTGACTAGAAAAGTGGGTGCTAACCTTGGTGTATCACCTAAAACTGCTGATACACTGTTGGGGACCACAAATTCACAATGGCTAATTTTGCATCCTTCTCTAAGGGCTAAATGGAGGCTTGGGATCGTGGTATCACCCTTTTGAGACTTCCTGTTAACTTTTTTGGGATGGACCATCCTCTCCCGCCCACTAAGACTCAACTAAAATGACTTAAGATTAAAAAGAGCACTCCAGGGCAAGA